TTTTCTCAGACACTTGCAGAAAAAGGCTTACCAAAACAAAGTTACTGGGTTGAACTTTTTTACATTTCCTTGGTTGGTAGATGCACCGGAGACCTGATTATATAGCACTTAAAACCTGGAAAAGTCCGATTTTCATGATATGTCACCTTTAATATTATATAATAATATTAAATTACAAACTGTATATATGTAACATTAAGTAGCCTATTATATTTATGGTGTTCATGAGAAATGACAGCTATTAGGCCATGTTGTTTTTTGCAATTAGCAAAATCCTCAATGAGTAGAGAAAACTGTACACATTTGTTGTAACTAAATCAAGTATGGATAGTTCTATTGAAAACTGACCTTATAAATTTGATCTAAACTGCTCTGATTATGAACTAACAATGGAAAGAGATATCTTTAGTAATTTGCAAATGTAGTTCAAAGAGCTATACATAACATAGTCTCTGTTCTGCAGAGAAAAGAGTGTTTATTTAGCATCTGTAGGAATAGTATAAACTCATGATATGTCACCTTTAATATTATATAATATTAAACTGTATATATGTAACATTAAGTAGCCTATTATATTTATGGTGTTCATGAGAAATGACAGCTATTAGGCCATGTTGTTTTTTGCAATTAGCAAAATCCTCAATGAGTAGAGAAAACTGTACACATTTGTTGTAACTAAATCAAGTATGGATAGTTCTATTGAAAACTGACCTTATAAATTTGATCTAAACTGCTCTGATTATGAACTAACAATGGAAAGAGATATCTTTAGTAATTTGCAAATGTAGTTCAAAGAGCTATACATAACATAGTCTCTGTTCTGCAGAGAAAAGAGTGTTTATTTAGCATCTGTAGGAATAGTATAAACATAAAGTGAAGAGCTAGCTCTGTGGCTGCCATGTTTGAGTGTGAGCAGCCAACTCTGGGAGACAATGTAAATAATGAGAGTAGGAGTGTGTGTGGAGTCTGGAGATTCTCTCCAGCAGATGAGTTCACTGTCTGAAGTGTTACTAATTCCTTTGAACCTTATAGTGTTTTTGTATTACTTTTACGCTTACAAACTAAATCCATTTGAAACATTTTGGCTTTCCAAATGAATCAATTAATTTGTGCAGTATTGTTCCCTTCATGTTGGGCACTTCATGTATCTAATTTAGATTGATTGGTGTGTTTGGTTTGCTAGATGGTGTTTGAGGTGGCGTTCAACAGTCCTCGTGGTGGCTATGTTGCTTTGGATGACATTTCTTTCTCCCCAGAATTTTGCCACACAGAGACAGGTCAGTGCGGTTCTGTTACATAATAAGCACTAACACGCTTTATGCAACTGTGCATAATCCCAAATAACACAGTACAGCTGTTTACAGAGCTTGAAAACCACAAGTAAGTTTTATGGTATCTTTTCAACAGGCACTGTAACTTTGTGAACATATGTTAACTCTTTTGTAGACATGTCTTTTTAATCGGGACTCTGGAAACACACTGTATTCTGTACTTCTGTTTCTCTTGTTTAAGTAATTCTCTACCATGCTTATTAGGCTGTGAAGAATCAAAATGTCTGTGCTGTTCAATTATTTAGAGCACAATTGGGATAAAGAATCCTCAGAGTAAAAGGACTTTTTGATAGTATTTTTTTCTCACAGCATCATTCTTAAATGTGTTTATTGATATAGACTGCAAATTCCTGATCTGTGATGTTATTACATGAAATATTTAGATTGATTTTGAGGTAATTTGCAACACATTGACAATTCGTATCTATTTTATGCTTTGGCCAATTTGTGGCTAATTCGTATGAATTTGTACAATCTCATTTACATCCTCCGGAGGAGGATCAGATGTCGATTGCGGCATCAGGGATCAGGCGATTCAGAGGACTCACAGCATCATTCTTAAATGTGTTTATTGATATAGACTGCAAATTCCTGATCTGTGATGTTATGACATGAAATATTTAGATTGATTTTGAGGTAATTTGCAACACATTGACAATTCGTATCTATTTTATGCTTTGGCCAATTTGTGGCTAATTCGTATGAATTTGTACAATCTCATTTACATCCTCCGGAGGAGGATCAGATGTCGATTGCGGCATCAGGGATCAGGCGATTCAGAGGATGTCGACTCGGCTGAGCTTCCTCCTTCTGGGAGGACATCTCTGGCTCAGCCTTGCTGAGTTGACAAGGCTCGCTTTCTTGACGCCCCCATCTCACAGGTTGGCCGTTTCAGCGACACTGTTGAGGACTTTGCCCAGCAGTTCTCAGCAGTCCAGAAGCAGGAGGAGGCCATCAAGCCTATCTTGCCCCGGCGTGATACTGCAGCCACCGTGTCGCCACGGGGCTGGCCTCCAGTCTGCTCATCGTCAAAGGCATCCCCTTTGGTGTCTACATTTGCTCCAGTGCAGGCTGCTATTACACCTCAGCTTGTAACGTCAAGCTTCCACAGGCCCGGGCCCCAGGTGGCCGCTAAGCCCTCCAAGCGGACAGAGAAGCGGCCCTGGCATGGGCAACCCAGAGATGGAGGGGACTGCTCTTTCCCAGGAGGTGGTGACGGTACTGCTCCTTTCCCCGGAGGAGGGCCAGGCATAGAATCTTTTGTTGAATTTATTTTCTGTTTCCTGGTACCAAAATTATCAATGAAAGAGCAGTTAACCCAGTCTCTGGTCATTCACAACGCAGTCTGGCAGTGAGCGACACGCTGCTTCCTCACTCCCAGCTTTGTCCTTCCCTTTCACCACAGGCCAAGAGGTTTTGTTTAGAGGAGGCGTTGCTTCTTCTAATGTATCTCTAGCCAGCCCTTCACCCTTCGGGTGCCGGGTGAGTCCTACTCCACACTCAACCCCTGTTCCGGGACACTCTGCCTTCGGGGTTTGGTCCCACTGCTCCCCATCTCTGCCCCTATGCGGGTGCGACGGTTGTCCCTTTGGTGCCACTCGTACGGAGTCTGGGAGCCTGGCTCATTCAAACAATCAGACTCTGCTATGCAATTCAGTTCACCAGCCTTCCCCCTAGGTTCAACAGTGTCTTCTTTACCTCAGTGGCAGCCAGAGGGTGCCCTTGCACCATTAAGGGAGGTGGGCATCTGTATCCTCAACTGGCTCATTCTAGCTCACTCTTGGAATCTGTTGCGCGAACACAGGGACCTGATGCTCCAGTACCTCAGCCAGTTGGGGCTTCATGTCAACTGGGAAAAGAGCAAGCTCTACTTGTTGGACTTGTGACAGCCAAGCCAATGAATATGAGACCGCTTCAGCACTGGCTACATAGCCCGAGTCCTGAGATGGGCATGGCGCCGTGGCGCTCTCTGCGTTCATGTCACACTGGGTTGATGCCAGACTTTCAGCCCTTGGTCGGGCCTTCCTTTTCTACGCGAATTCACCAAATTTGTGGAATCTGACTTAAAAAAATGTGTGCAAGCTTGATGAAGAAATTTTTAATTATACTTTTAGACTCTTTTTAAAAATAAAAATAGTCTAATTTATGAAAATATCATACATTTACATCATACTGTATATATGATATTTATTAGGGAACAAAAAAGTTACAAAATAAGATAACATTCATAAAATTATCATTTATTTCACTGATTATTTATGATTTATAAAGCTTTCATGTCCATTACATTCACAGGGTCTTTTCTCTTGGCCAACACTCGTCATACCTCTCGTCCAGGGTATGTGGGTCATCTTTTTGGACCGTCCCTACCAGGGAACCATAAATACTGCCTCAGGTTCTACTATGCCCTGCATGGCTTCATGAAAATAGATAATGCTCTGGCTCTCTATGTCTATGATGAAAACAACATAGCTCAGGAGAAAATCTGGACTGTGTCTGAGAGGTCTAAAGATGTTTGGACAGAGGTGGAAGTCACATACCTAAAGCCCATGCCTGCTAAGGTAAGTGTAAAATGAATGGATTGTTGTTAAATATGAGTTAAACAGGCAGCTTTTCACTTCACAAGACATTAATTGATGGACTGGAATCGTGTGAATTACTTGTGGATTATTGTGATGTTTTTATCAGCTGTTTGGGCTGTTATTCTGACGGCACCCATACACTGCAGAGGATCCATTACTGAGCAAGCTAAATTTCTCCAAATCTGTTCTGAAGAAGAAACAAATTCATATACATGAGGATGACAAAATTTTCAGCAACTTTTAATTTTTGAGTTAACTATTCCTTTAATATGATAAAAGAGGAAAACTTAAGGAACAAAAAAGTTACAAAATAAGATAACATTCATAAAATTATCATTTATTTCACTGATTATTTATGATTTATAAATCTGTCATGTCCATTACATTCACAGGGTCTTTTCTCTTGGCCAACACTCGTCATACCTCTCGTCCAGGGTATGTGGGTCGTCTTTTTGGACCGTCCCTACCAGGGAACCATAAATACTGCCTCAGGTTCTACTATGCCCTGCATGGCTTCATGAAAATAGATAATGCTCTGGCTCTCTATGTCTATGATGAAAACAACATAGCTCAGGAGAAAATCTGGACTGTGTCTGAGAGGTCTAAAGATGTTTGGACAGAGGTGGAAGTCAC